GGGGGGGGGGGCAGAGAGAGAGCTTGTCAGAACACACACAAAAAAAATCAAAGCAGGCAGAGTCCTACGCACGCACACGGGCCACGCTGTGTCGCCCGTCCCGCTCACCTGGTGAGCGCACATGTGCCCATCGGCGGCGGCGGGAGCCAACGGTATGCCCTACGGACTTACCCCCCACCCTTTCCCCCTGCCGCGTCATCAGAATGCAGCGGTACGACGACCGGCGACATGAACCATGCACACGGAATACGCGGCGCCACGCGGGGCGAAGTGGAGGAGCTGCGAGGGGAGGAGGGGTGGGAAGGGCGTGTTGCAAAGTCTCCACGGCCATTCACTCCCACGCCCGACCCTCACACGAGAGACGATTAGGCTGTTACGTCACGGCGGACGGGAGCACGAGGCTGAACAATATGCAGATCATAGGGCTCGTGCTATCGGTAGAGGCGGGCGCCATCATGACGACGACGGGCTGCTCGCCCCGCGTGCCGAACACTTCCACCCTCACCTGGCCGACGACCACAGGCCTCCCACACTACACACCCTGCGGTGGTGTGGTGGCCGCAGAGTCCTCGAGGTGCGGGAGGCGCCCGGCGGCGCCCCCACCCTATCCTTCAGCCCGCGAGGCGGTTCGCGGGAAGCGGCGGTGGCGGCGGCGGCAGGGACACACATGTGACGAGACGCAAGTAGCTCGCGTGTATAGTCCGCCCAGATACTCTCGGGACGGGCATGGGACGGGCGCACCCGGCACAGACTGTACTGTTACTGCGGCCGACACAGCAAGGCAGGTCTAAGGAGCCGGCAGGGCAGGGGCGGGCAAGGGCAAGGACCCGACTGGGGCAGGCCTGTAACTAGTCTGAACGACGTGTGAGCAAGTTCATGTCATTTCCTAGAAGTTGTCCATAACACATCTGACACAGGACATCAGTGGACATTACAGTACTCAAATAAGGGAAAGGACCGGGGGGGGGATGGAAAAGGGCATGACTGGGATGGTATAGCAACATTGATTTTAAAACTTAAGTACAAATTCTTGGCACATGGGTATAGTTATGGTTTACACAAGCAAGGCAAAAAGAGAGTAATGCCTTAAACAAATAATTCCCTTTTAAGATAATTGTATAGTCAGATTAAAAAAATAAATATTGTATGCTGCTGCAGAATCAAATCAGACTTTAGAATTTATCTTCAAAATATAAAGAGTGCAGTTAAAACTGATTAGAGAAACACAATGATCATGTCGCAACGCCTAGCTGCTTTGCATTGCGAAATGAATATGGCAATTACCAAGCACATCTAACCACTTGATTAAGCATAAGTAAAACATTTTGAGAGAATTTATCTGAAAATATTAACGGACAAATATGTAACACAGTAAACAACAATATTACAGCTTA